CCTATTTAATTTGTATGTTACATTCTAACTTATATACCTATGACATTTAATACATTTTATAAGGCCTACAGTTTTAAATATTTTTTGTAAATAAAAGTTTACTGCTTAGTACTTATAGTAAGTATGTAGAAGTACAGTATACCTAATAGTTATTTATTAATGTGTTGTGTATATCATATTATATTCTTATCATAATGGTGTCAAAACAGTTGTATTATCTAATAAGATATTGAATGAGTATATTATATTATGCCTATTTTAAAATCTCACAACACAATTATACACATCGTACCACCGTGAGCTAACATATATTATTTGATTCATAGACCATATTTTGGAGAAATATGTATATAGTTCACGCATAGTCATTTATGGCCAACTATCCATTCTACATCATAATATCAGTGGTGGTCAAATGATTTTGTCAATGGGGGAGGGGGGAATAATGGCTCATTTTTTAACATGCTTTATTAAAATATTTGATTATTAAAAATATAATTTCTGGTCATCAGCTCTTAAACATTGAAAAAAAGGTCATGGGGGAATCTATCTCCCACCATTTGACCGCATCATATTATCAAATTGCTTATATACCTACACTATGTGTTATGTGTTTTTTTTTTTAACGAAGAATATTAATATAATTATTGTGCATCATATATTATTATTACCTACAGTAAATATGGAATATCTTAAAGCGGGGTATAAGATATTCCAATAAACTAAATAATAATAACATATAATAAGGTAACTCCCTTTTATACTTGTACTTATAATATGGCTATATCGTAACTAATGTCCTGGAACGCACGCATTTCTGTCGATCCGAGGAGACGGCTTATAATTTATGGACCGCCGTTGAAATCGCCAGCCGGCTGGCGACGGCGGTGGCAACGGCGGCTTATCATCGATAAATCATCCATACCTCGGACAATATAATGTGCGATAGTAAATTACCGTTGGACGGGCGTCGAGGGGGAGTTGGGGAAGTGTGCGCGAGGAGGGATATAGCCGCCGAGAGAGATTGATACGTGAAGTATTCGGATCATCGGTTCTTGTGTAGTTATTTTTTTTCCATGTTACATTATGCGCCAAGATTATAATAAAGAACAATTTGAATATTTTAAAACCATAATGTCTGACCCGAGGGCACGCGTCCTGCACCTTGACGTGGTCTCGTAATTAGAAATTTAGACTGTTGTTTGAAACAAGAGAGCGACGACAGAGACGGAGATAGTGTTTGCAGCGAAGGGGAACAGGGTGAAAAAAACACCGAAAGAAAATGACGACGGCTCGTATTATATATATATATATATATAATATATTAATATGTATAGTATATGCACATGTATATATACATTTTTTCCGAGATAATATTGTTATTAAGATTTTTCGTTGCGGTTCCAGGCACGGCGATAAATTCATTCTGTCGGTTGTAAATTAAAACTCCATTTTTCTAGATAGGTATAAAACGCGCGCGTAACCTGACCCTATGATGGACCTACTTTTTTTCATATATTTTTTCCAATTTAACTCACCGCCCGCGTTACTTTTGTTTTATTTATATTAATCGTTTATGTCTTCCTGCTATAAATATATCTGCTGCTCTCATACCTAATTTCCACTTGGCAACGAGTTTTTTTCTCGTTTCATATGTTGATAAATGTGAGATTGTCTACATGTATATATGTGCCACTATATGGATGTTCATTTACCTATGTTAATTTCTGTAACCCCACAAACGAGCGCGGAAAACAAAATTTCAAACAAACATCACGAAAAGGTATAATGATACGACGAGCGTTATTATTTCTTCCATAGCCACCCACGTACGTGATGGGAAAAATTAAATATATTTCCTTCTCCGCTGTCATTTCATAATCAACAATATACTACAACATATATTATAATATTATAAATACCAATATATATTTTTTTCTGGTCATTAATATTCCACACGAATCATATATTATGCTTACTTAAATGATTTTTCGTTTAAAAAGAAATACATCGGTTTACAGTATTATATATTTTAGATAGGTTTTGAATTATTATGCAAACCAACTTTAAAGTGTGGACTGCATAATATTATTATTTGATAATATTGGCGTATCAATTACAAGAACATTCGAGGACTTCGAGCCATAAAATTGTTTATAAAAATAAATTTTCTGACCGCGGCGTTTCCACCAACGTCGTGTCGCTTCCACCACCATCGTTCAGGCGTTCAAACATATTATTTTTATGATATACAACAGCTCTATAGCAGCGGGCAATGTCCACTGCGGGAGGTCGGAAGCGACAAACCTCCCGCAGTCGCCGACTCAACAGGGGCTCCTCGGGTCTGTCCGGCCGACAAACGGACTGTATGCATTCAAATTGTCGACAGTAGTAAACGGGTGTTTTTCTGCTACCGTGTGACTGCGACGCTATGGCGACGGTACAATATATTAACATATTATTATTATCATATCGGTGCACCAACGGCTGAGGCCCCCCGTGGAAAGTGAACCCGGCACGTGCCACCGAAAATTCAAATGAGAATGCGCGTTATTGTTGTGTATATATAATATGCTAACTTTACTGGAGTCCACTCTCGAGCAATTATAAGAGCTTTCCTATATTTGGATAATTTATTTGCCAAACTGATTTCGGAATCGTTCGTAAAATCACATATCAATAATAAAGCATTTATATTTTACACGTGTATAGGTGAATTTTTACATCAAAATATTAATGTGCTTGCTGCAAATAATATAGTGCCCTACGTATGCACACCGAATTTGTTAACCCACCCTAAAACGGACTGTTTTAATAAAACATGAAATTTAATATGTAAATAATTGTTATTTGTACTTACAGTAAGTAATTAATTTCGTGACGAACAAAATATTATATCATAAGCACTTTTATTAGACACTGATGTCCAGTGGCAATCGAGTCACACGATCACCACCCACTGACCCTTTTTCTGTCTTCACACATTATTATTTATACATCAAGTCTAAATCCTTCTATGGGTAATATCGATGTTAAGTTTAACCTAGTTGCATTGTACTTATTTAGTATGCTTAAAATTATATTAATTGTTATTTTATTACATAATTGTTATCTTAACTTAATTTACGGGGTGCCGCCATTGGGTGACTTCCCCCTCCTGTTTACCAAAAATCATCCCATTTACTTATTGTATCACTTGTAAATACAGATTGTAAATATATTATGTTTGTTCAATAAAAAAAAAAAAAAATAAAAAAATAAAAAAAAAAAAACTTAATTTGATTGAACGTATGTCTCTACGTTGTTACTTATAAATTGTTGAATATTGTATGCTTTATTTTGGTATTTTACATTTACATGTTACATATGATTTTGTTGTCATTTATCGCGTTCCTATTACTGTCTGTTTTGCATGCAGATTTAGCCAGCTGTTGTAATGGTAAATTACGATTGGCTGGTAGTTAAATTGCGGGCTTGTGATAGCCATAGTATGTACGGATGGCCTGTCACAATAGTATATATTAGGGGCATAGGGAGTATGCGTATTGACAAGTACCTAGTTATACATTTTATTTCATATATTAAAATATATAAGTAAAGTTCTATATTTTTGACGTTTCGGTACCAATAGATAAAATACATTTGTTATATCACTTTATTTCATGGAAATATTTTTAAACAAAAATATTATTTAAAATAATTTTATCATAAACAGCACGATATAAGAAGAAAAATTTGAGATATTTTATAGCACTTAGGTATAGATTGTAATCGTATTGGTTCTAATCAACAAAACCTAATGAGTTATCAGTTATGAGATATTATTGAAATGTGATTTGAAAAATAATTAAATAATTTGAATATAATATATAATATTAATTTTCTTGAATCATTTAAACCAGTGAAGGGTCAAACATCTTTCGTCTGTGGACCACAAAAGTAAATTGTTGTACTCGTGTAGATCACCAATAGGCCATAATCGAAAAAAAAGAAAATTTTATATTTTTACATATTTTGTATTAACTAAAAAATGGCCATGGGCAGATCGGAAATCACTAGTAAAACGAAAACTGATTCCTATTTTATACAAATCAAAGGAATCCAGAAAGAATTTATAATTTACGTAAGGTCAATAAATATTAAAGGTAGGTACACATAATAATTGTTACAATTTATAAAGATACCTAAATTAACATTTATAATAATAGACATTCTCTATATTAACTACATGAATACTAAATAAAGTAATAATTATTGAAAATGTATAATTGACAATATTTATTGTATTGGTAGCTTGATATACCACATACTATAACTAATTAAATTGTATCTGCAAAGAAAATTAATTTGTATTCATACATGCACGACATCTTGATTAAAACCGTCTAGGTATCTACTTATTTATTATATTATATTATTGTTATGTTTGATAATAGCTATATTTTTTAATTGGACTCTGTAACATAATATGTATAAGAAAATACAATCATATTTTTAACCATTTTTTCTATAACTTTATATATTATCGTAACCACTTTTTATGAATGACTGGCAATGAGCAGAAGTATATTATAACTCTATGCTTTATTATTATTACAGATCCAAAACTGAAATAGTTTATGCGATGACTTTAATTGGAACGCTCGTGGTATCATTACCTAACGTATAAAATAGATTGGCAATAATATTTTACTATTATTATTATTATAAATAAATTGTATTTATATGATACACCAACAGAAACAATAGATATAGGTAGTAGATTAGTATGTGCATTATGTTTACAATTTTCATAATGAATAATGTTGATATTAAAAATTTAAATATATGTTATTTTCCATAAACTTAAGCTAAGTCTAGTGTAAGTATACAAAATGTATAATATTATAGAAAGGTATCTATATAGATAAATGGGTAGGTGGTAGGTATCTATATAGGTAAGTGTCTACTTGTGTATTATGTTTCATAATTTTATTAATGTAATTATTTTTCTCCACGTGATGACACTATGCTGGGCTGTTATTTCCTTTCCCCATCTAGTATTATACTCTTTTAATTTCGTAGCACTGACTGATGAAAATAATATGATGTGTTTTACATGTGGAATTAAAGGATTGGGCGTTGCTGTGGTAATCACGTGGGCTGATGATAGGAGGAAAGGAAACGGGTTTAAGGAATTTAACGTAAAACACGCGTGTCGTCTGTCAAATTTAACTGCTGTGGTATACACCTCTAATGACCTCAAGGCAACCAACCAAAATGGTCTATCAAAGCCAATAATCTGGCAATAACCTAAAAAAAATTATAATAATTATAATGTAAATTACACATAAAAACATACGGACAATAAATAAAAACGTAATTTCACTTTAGTCATATCTGTCAGCGTATCATGTTAAACTTTGTATAACTTATTTTTTATGTCAAATTAATGTAAATTCTGTAATTGCATTGATAAAAATGTTAATATTATAATATAAATAAAATATATAGAATCATGTCTCTTCTATAATTAACTAATGTTGAAAATCTATATACTAAAGTTTAATGAAATATAATGATTGTAATTTGATCTACCCTTATATATTATGTATCTAATATTATTTCTTAGATATTTTTATTAAGTCCCTAGAATATAATAGAAAGTGCTTTATAACATTCGAAATCATATAAACAATTTAACTTAGTAAACTATAGGTATTATAAAATACATATTACAATTAGAATATATAGCCATATAGGTTACATTTTATTAGCAAGCCAATTTGTAATAGACTATAACTTAGGTATAATATAATGTTATGTCCATAGGTATATAGGTACATCCATTACATCGACTTCACTATTACACTTTAAAAATAGTTTGATATACCATCTATCTTTTGTTAATCTTCTTTATTTTATGGGACCTCATGAAATTTTTAATAATCGGTTTATAGATTTTATACAACTTTCCTTAATACGTTTTTGTCAACCGATTTTTTTGAATCTATATAATAACTAATTCAATTAGCCTAATTACGTATTGTATTAATTTTATCATCAGTATTTATATTCGCAGCTTTCAGTTATATATCTATAATACTATAATATAATGTTTATATAATGTATACCTAGTATGGGTTTTTACTTTTTTTTTTTATTATATTTTATCAAACAAATAATAATAATTACTACGAAGAAATGCTGCTTTGATTAGTTAGTTATTTAATTTAAATATAAGTAAGCACGATAATAATTTTATTTTTATTTATACTCCGGATAAGAATTAAAAATTAATTTCGTCAATAACTTGATATTTTTGTTTACATGGTTTCATAGAAGTTACGCAAGATGTGCCGTAAAGAAAAGGTAATCTCTACGGCTCTTCGTTTAGGTATTCTATTATGTACCTATTATGCAGTATTATAGTATTATTATTTTAGTATTAAAACCTATTTTAGATTCTGAGTGAAACGATGAATGTATTGATTCTACAATGATGTGTGTTTTTTTTTTTTATTTTATTTTTTTTTTTATTTTTGTGTCTGTCATCACGTTTTAGGACAGTAAAAGTGCTTGGATTTTCTTCATCAGTAGCTTTTCTGATAGGAAAGTGAATCTAGTTGGTACTTTGGGGGGTCAAAAGTATAAATTTCCCAGTAGTTTTCACAAGCGCCGGGAAAAACAACATAAAAATTAAGGAAAAACGGGAATTTTTACGCAAAATTGGTTTTCCAAAAAATCGATTTTGGTTTTTGGTGTAACTCTGAAACAAATGAACGTATATACATGAAATTTTCACTGGTTGTTTATATTTGCATTTTCTATACACGATAACATTTTCAAAATATTTTGATTTATTTTGAACTGTTTAGGGACATTTTCATTTTCCATTTTTTTTTTAGTTTTTTTTCTAAAAATATCAATAAAATTTTATTTGTTGGTTGCGAAAGCTTGAAAATTTAATAGAAGGATCCTAATATATTGTTTCAAAGGCAGATGAAAAATATTAAAAATCCTTAGTCACAATTTTTTTTTATAAGCATTTAAAGTTCAAAAATTGACAAAATATGGAAAAATCACGAAAATTAGCAAATTATTTTGAGTTAAGAATTCGTAAAAATTTTTCTTTTTAAATCTAAGATTTGAAAATTAAACACAAGATTCCTTATAAGATCATCTACCTTTATCAAAAGAAAAATGTCTATAAGATAGTCAAATTAAATTTTTATGAGCGTTTGAAATTCAAATTTTTACAACATTGAATATTCACTCGATTTCCCATGTAGCGATTTCCTTATTTTGTTGTAATTCAAAAACGAATAACTGTAGATACATGAAAATTTCACTGAATGTTTATATTAGCATTTCCTATACACCATACAATTTTGAAAATATTTTGACTCTTTTTGAGCTGTTTATGGACATTTACAGCTTTCAATTTTTTTTAGTTTTTTTTTCTATAAATATCAATAAAGTTTTATCTATTGGGCCAAAAAGTGTAAAAATTTAATACAAGGCTCCTGATATATTGTTACAATAGCAGTTGAAAAATATTAAAAATACATAGGCACAGTTTTTTTTTATAAGCATTTAAAGATCAAATTTTAACAAAATTTATCAAAATCTCGAAAATTATCAATCATTGAAATTAATAAATTATAAAATGTTCAGTTTTTATAGCTAAGGATTGCAAATTTAAAACAAAGGTTCTCATAAATAGTTCATACTGTAACCAAAAAATCTAAAAAATATATGAACACAGTTATTTTTTACAGACATTTTAAATTCAAATTTGGACGAAATTACATATTAAAAAACCTAGAATAACTATTTTAGTTATTTTGTTGTGATTGAATAATATTATTCGTGGGTACTTGAAACTTCTAAAGTGTACTATTATATATCTATGATAGTATCACGGTTTTTGTTGATATATAACGCGTTATAAGTACCTAATGGACATTGTGATATGATTAATTTGGAATTTATTATAAGTACCTATTATAGGTCAATTTTTTGTTTAATACCATAGATATGTATATAATATGTCTTATACATAGACTGACATACCGTCTCCGCTCAGAATCGTTTTTCTTATACAATGATATTATATCGTTGAATTCAAATTTAATATCATCCATTATACAGTGACCCACTTGTAACCTACTGTACAGCAGAGCGACACCCACTTGCCCACCTTTTTTTATTTATATATATATATATATTAACTCGACTAAAACATATTATACAGTTCACTTTACTATATATTAGGGTTTTTGATAAGATTATACTATATAGATATACTGTGTGTCCGTAAAAACAGGGACAGTGGAACTTTATAAACTTAAACCACCAATAGGTATTATTCAATACCCTATACATTATATTTTAATTCTATTTGAGGGACACAAAACTAGACTATTGCCTGCTATGGGATCATCAATCTCCCGCAGACAGAATTCTAAAATATGTGTAGTTCACCTACTGAGTAATAATTTAGGTACCTAACTGAGTGTAACCAGTTTTCGCAGACACACGGTATATTTTACAACTAATTAAAATATTTTATTTTTTATCTAATATCAATATCTACCAACGGTTTTGAAAAAGCCATATGTACGAGGAGGACGACATCCCTTAGTTGTAAAATATTATGATATACAGTGAACAATAATACAATATAGATATTAATTTATTGTATATATATACTTATATCGTTAAAAAAAAAAACAACACACGTGATAATTCTATTCGTCATATTTTGCCCGAACAATCACTTATCATCGTTTATATTCAATCATTTTAATTCGTCCATCAGACCACATGTATATTTAAGTACCTATGAGTATACCAATAGCTTCAGATTATATTATTTCGTCAAGTCACTCGGGTAATGGACAACATTATTTTTCCGTACATGCACACTCAAACAGCCGTCAAGAGACAGTATAATGTATAATAATTATTATTATTTAACTCGTTTTGTTTCGAACAGACGAAACGTTTCCCCCCGTTCGGAAATTATGTAGGTACCGTAACGAGTATTATACGATGAAAGATAATATGTATATATATTATTATAATATAGCATTACACTATACGCAATACTTACAGAGTGCTACGTTAACGCGCGAGTTAAAACATCATTAACGTAAATTAGATTTAGAATTGGCCTTATTTTACACACATAGGTATATAAATACGAAAACGAATAGTGTTTATATTATTATCATGTAAAATCCGCTTGTGAATTATTACACAATACAATAATAATATATGTTGAGAGAGTTTTACCGTAATATTGGCGTTATACTAAATTATCCAATTGCAGTTGGTGTGGAATAAAAAAAAAATTTTAACAAGCGTGAGAAAATCAATCAAAATGTGTAAACATTGTTTTTACTCGAAAAAAGCATAAAATGGAAAAAAGAAATCCAATTCCGTGTCTTTTTGTAGGTCGTATTTTGTATAGTCTTAACTAATATTGCATGTAGTGTATAGAGTATAGGTACGCAATTATAATAACACATATTAAACGAAAACTGGACCAGAATCGATTTGGGATCGAGTTGTTTTCAATTAACAAGTCGTTGGCTACGAAGGTAGTTGAAGGTGGTAGGTACACTGTACATATAGAAGAAAAAAAACATCACAACACATAATATATAATATAATATGCTGTGTAAACTCGAAATGGAATATAATAATATTACGTTTATTAGGTATAGGTATATAGGTATTATGTGTAAAAATACCCACGGAAGAGATGGTTGCTGTAATGGTAATGATAAATTTAAAAAAAAAACACGTTTCATGCACGCAGCCGCGATTTTTAAACTTTTATTTTATATTTTCTAATATACTTCTGAGCGCGTCATACCACACAGAAGTATAATAATAACAATAACAATAACAATATATTTGTAACATATTAATTGTATACTATGTGATATAGAAAACCATAAGGCAATGTGTAATCATTATATTATTGATGTTGTTGTATATTTATACGATATATATATATATACCTACCTCGGGCTACGTAATTTAGAACTATATAATATTATTAATTATTGTTATAATATTACTTATAATATAGTCTGCACATTTGTGTCATTGAGGGAATATATAGGTATATTACAAACAATACAAACTGTAGTATATATATGTCTATATCGGTTATTGTTCAAGTACACGTTTATATTATGTATAGTACCTATATTAGTACATTCCCAGCAGACAACTGCAGTGGAGGAAATGAAATAATAATTAAAACAAAAGTTTAACATGGTAGTATTATATTATC